GTTTAGTTGCATTGGCTGGAACGGTTTTACTCAATCTATAACCGAAATATTTGGTTCTGCGACCGTATATATCATATACAAAAATCGACGGCTTTAGATATTAAATATTAATGCAATAATTAAAGTTTCAACTATTTCAACCTCTTTCAGGTTTTCAACAATATGCTTTATGCTATTACAAAATGATGTTTCACCGGTATTAACTTACGTTCAATAAAATTACAACCGACAAACGCAATTTATTTAACGTTATTTGCAAATTTTATCTCGCAGCTTTATTTGAAAGAAAATGCAATATACAACCAACCAAAAGACAAATTTTTTTTAATAATAGCAAAAATAATCGTTGCATAAAGTTCACGACGTTCCGCGAATTCTTTATTATTTTTAAAATATAAACTAACATTTTTTAGAAACTCTGGCCTATTTAAATTTTAAGTTAAATTTTGTTTTTTCATAGTCTCTTTTCTGTTCCTCCCTTTTACGTCGTTCCGCTTTCAGGCCATAACTTTGTCCTTCTCTAGCCCCAGCTGTTCTCTCCGACTTCTCTTTAACTCTTAAATTATACGAATATCCTACAGTCCTCATACGCGTTATAGAGTGTCTTTTTGGTCTTTTTCTGTGTGCATGTGTGTCACTAACGCGAGCAGAGTCTCAAGAAAGAAATACTGTCGTGATATATTCGTTCGCACTAAAATGAGTGAAATACTTTTTAGTTTACACTTTTTTCACGTCAATGTTAAAGTTAAAAAACACTATTGAGGATAAATATATAATTATAATGTTTATTTGAGAATATAAAATTGAAAATGAAAGCGCATATTACACTTTCATACAAAGTTACAATATGCAACAAAAAGCGGTACACAAACAGCATGTGATATGTCTTTTTTTTCTTTGTATCTATAAGCACAAAACAATCGTACAAATATTTTGAAAATTTGCGAAAAATGAACATTTTTTAACAATTTGATATCGCACAGTAAAACGAGTTGTTTTTAGCAGATTGATATTAAAGTTGATATTGCATAGTTCAACGTCGTTTGATCCAAAATTAATTAAGCATAGTTCTCTCTCGAGTCCGTGGGTATGAAAAAAAGATATTCCACCCATCAGTGTATGAATTTCATTAAGCTGTCTCCATTGGAACTGATTTTAGCTTTCATTTAGCTATATTGGTTGGAACTTTGCGAAGCAGCTATTGATGAAGTTATAACTGTGTTTCATATTCACGTATATCACGTATATACATCCGCACGCAACACTATATACCCGATACATTCGACTTCATTGTCGAGTACACCGGGCCCGTAGGAACTTTGCGAAGATCTCCCCGCGATCCGTCGGATCGACGGGGAGTCTTTGTCCGCCTTTGTTTGGTATCGTATCAACATCCGCATCTCCGACAGCAGAGATTCCTCTATAGCGGCTCGTGTTACGTGTGTATGCGATAAACGGCATTCACGGCTTTCGTTTTCAATGAGCGACAATCGCTGTAAGAGCAGTCTCGTTTATTCACGGATGTACTACTTACTGCTTGGTCATTGAGCAGCAAACTCTGCTGAGAGGCAGACAATAGCGAATGTGTCTTTGCTGATGTGTGAGGTGAATGCGAGAATAGGCTTCTAAACAGTTTTCTTTGCGGAACAAAAACGGAATTGTTCGATTTCGAATGTAACTGTAATTGATACATTCTACCATTGATGTTTGAAAAAGGCTCAGGGTTTTTTTTTTTTATTAGATAACTTAAACTGTGTCAATTATCTCATGATAGCTTATGTAATCTAACGAATCGGGTTGCATAAATTTTTTACAAACGCGATGTTACGTACACAATCAATAAAGCGTGATGTTTGGCACGACAATGAAAAATAACCAAGTTTTATCAAGAGATAAACGGAGTCCGGCGTATGGTGTGCGGATTGAGTTAATTTAGTAGAGTAATCGTGAATGGACGGAGAAGTGAAAAACATCTCGTTGCAGAAACACACGCCATGTATCCGTCTCGTTGTTTTCAGAGAACAAAACGATCGTATGATATTTATCCGCTATATATCGTTTTAATTGAAATTTACATGAAGCAAAAAATTACATTGTGCTCATGCAATTGTTCGAATTGACGGGATTTTACGATCCTCCTGAAATTTACGCATGTATCATAAAATTGTACATGTCGTCTCTGCCCTGCCCTTTATTTTATCTTTTTCGCATTTTGCGTACGTTACATATTACTGTACGATAAAATTGCTTTTCACTTTGTATCATATTTTATATCCCAAAGTTTTTATAGAGAGATATTGTCAATATAAAATCGATATCATATCAATATAGGTATATAGATATTGTATGCTACTCTGAGAAGTAGAACGAGGATCAGATAAGCGCGACAAGAATTTCATTTGTGTACTGAAAAGAGTTAAAATTTAAAGCTTACTCGCTGCCGTTATCGATCGCGTCTCCGACGGAAGTTTTTTCAAAATATTATTTATCTAATTTTTGCGCTTCTTACATGTTAAGCAATATCTCAAAATTCTCTCACATACATTGATATAATATTATTCTCTGTGATGTTTAAATGACTGATAGAAAAAAAACTTTTTATCTTGTAGAAGAGTCTTCTGACTGCAAATAAAACTCAGCAGCGCGAAAGAATGCGATATTCGATCCGTTGATCATTCTCACGACAATTCCGCGGCTTTTTAAAGTTCGGAAAATATAGCCGAGTGAGTGGCGCGCAGAATGAGAACTTCTGTATCTTCCGTTTATTTCTGCGGCGTCGAAAGTCTGCTCACGTTCTCATCCGTTAAGCTACTTCCTCGACGAGCAAACATCCAATAATTCCGTTCGTGCTTTTTTCCGTTTGTAAAACGAAGCGTCATGGTTAAGACAGATTCCCACAAGATTCGATTGCTCTCTGATGATACATGAAGCGGATATATTTTTTAAAATGCATATGAATAATGCTTGGAGAAATGAATATATTAGCACAATCAGCAGTTAAAGTACTGCAATTACAACTTACGTATAAATTTATAATGCTCTAATGCAGGAATTTTTAAGTTGTCCATTATTTTTTAATTCTATTTATTTCTTTGTTTTTTTTTTTTTTTTTTT